ATTTAAATCTGCAAAAATGCAAATTAATTCACAGTAACCTGGTTTATGTTAATATGAGAAGTAATCTTAACACAAATGACTCCTTCTCTCTCTGAGGCATGCTGATTATAGATGAAAAGTGAAGAATCCTTAGAACCTATTTGTTATATTCTTTCTGTTTATTTTCTATAATTAAAAGTAAAATATAGCAAAATAAAATGGGTACACTTAAATTGACCCTGAAAAAGAAAACATTAATTCAGTGAAAACCTTCTGACATTTAACAGACTTGACATGTCGTTGACGGGGATTTGTCATTTGAACACATGAACATTTATTTTCAATTTGAAAAGAGCCTTGATCTTTGGTCTCAGCATCACATTTTGCCAAAGCTGTTTTGTTTTTCCTCTTCACCCTCTGACCTCTCCGGCGCCACATCTCTGTGTCCCTACACTTCTTAATCTGTATATCTGTCTGTCGCACAAACAGACAGCTCGGACAACTCTGACCTTGAGGATGACATCATCTTATCCCTGAATGAGTGAGGAGACTTCGCTGTCTGGGACCGAGGAGCCAGACAACATGTCAAGACTTCTGCTTCACAAACATTTGAGTTGCAGAACAGGCGGCGCGAAAAGAAAATATCATCAGATGAGGTGGGAGATAATTTGGAGCACTGCCAGTTTGTAACAGTAGGTATCTGCACACTTTGAGGGTGACAGGACCAAGGAAATCAGTGGTGTGCAAAAAAATGATTGTATATGATATAGTTTTATAAAACATAAGTGGGCTTGATGGTGATTGAAAAATGCCAGTGTGTAGATGCAGTGAAGAAAAGTTTTATATTTTATCACATTAGCGGCTCTCTAATGACCTTCTTTATTTGATATTGATCCACTCTCTTTGGGAGCCTCTGGTTGGCCACAGATTAGTGTTTTGTTGGGGAAACAACTTCTGTTCCTGGGCTCTGGGTCTGCAGCTGTACAACAGAGGATACAATTCCCTCTCAAGCTTCACCACACCTGGAATCATCACAAAAACGTACTGAAGTGCCGAGCTAGGCAGCTAATGTGATGCACAAACATGTTGCTGATGGTTCATCAAGCGTCAAAACCCACTTTCAGGTTTTACTTTCACCATAAACTGATGACCAAATTGCCACACACAGCAGTGCCATTTATGACTTTGCCTCCTGATTTCATTGTGTAAATAGATAAATCAGCTCGGTGCTCTTGAATCACTGAAGACACCATAACTAGTGCGGACATGGTAACCAAACTGTTGACAAACCGGCTCATTGTCAGCACATGACAGACACAGGGTTGTGCAGAGCTCTACCTTTGTGTTATCTCACTCACCTTTATTGAGCCATGCAATCATTTGGGTTCAGTTAAACTTAGTTTTATGTTTAAAAACTGAGGATATATCTCAGTGACTCAAGACTGAAAATATGAAAAGCTTCATTTATAGAATCTGACTCGATCTTTAAAAAGAAGGAGATACAGCAAAACACCAAACACCATGTGTGTTTCCTCTGATTGACTGACAGGAGGCTTCGTACTTCAACATTGTGAAAACAGATGCCTTCGCTTGCACACATTTTGAAAGCAGTGCAAATATTTCATGACTTTTCTCACAGTTTTGATTTGATATCTAACAATTTTGCCTGTTTTCTTTTCCATAGGGAGACTTATGTTGAGTTTCTTGAGACAATTTATGTACATCTTGTATGTATCTAAAGTATTTTTACTATAAATAAACTTGCAAAATTAGCTTTCTGTGCTTCTTTAATGAAGTGTGAACGATGCTCGAGGATCAATAGATGGTTTATAAGCTGTTGCAGCAGAGATGTCTTCACATTTTCGATTTTTAAAAGGGAGATGGATAAAGCATGTGTTGAAACTGGTGTCAAGAAAACAATTAAATAATATCACA